CCAGCCAGTAACACAGAGGTTTATTAGATGACAGGAACACGGTCTAAAACAGAGCTTGTAGGTACAGCGGCGAACGGCACCCCTCGGCCGGGTCCATTATGGGGTTCAGAGAGCCAGACACCCACCCATGTCTGCCCTCACTCCTAGTCCCCAGGTAGCTCCAACTCTCAAACCTCCTCCAGCCCCTCCTTCTCCCGGCTTTGTCTCTTTCCTGGGCCAGGAGGTCACCTGATCTCTTTGTTCACCTTTAGCTATTTCTTTGGGGGGGGGGGAAGGGGCCCTGGCCATTTGTTGCCAGGGAGACAGAGTGTCAGTGATTTATGCACACTGGCCTTTCCCCCTCACCTACAGACTTAAGAAATGCATAGGGGAAACTGAGGCACCCACACAATATTCAGAGGAAACATTAAGAACAGTCCCACTTCCTCACAGGGTGCGTGTACAGAACTAGACGCCTATGGAGCCAACCCTCATGCCTCACCCCCTCGCCATCCTCCATGGCCCTGCATCCCAGCGACCCGGCCCCTGGCACGGGTTTGTGGGGAGGGGGGTTGGTAGCTGCCCACAGAGAAGGGTGTGGGAAGTTCTCCTTTCCCCTGGCTCTGCTCTGGGGATGGTGGGGACTGGAAGCCTGCAGGAGTCTGTAGGTCTCAGCTTGACACTAGCCGGCCTTCTGGTCCCACCCTGAGGGGTGCCAGCTATTCCGCTGGGCTGAGGTGGGTCATGCCCAAGGAGCTGCGCTGATTTGCCCTAGCCGAGGCTCTGGCCATGGGTACTTCCCTATTTGCTCTGTTCCCAGGGCACGTTCTGTACGAGACGTCATGTTCCCGCTCCTCAGCGCTGTGTTGTGCGTGGCTGCTGCCCTCCGCCCCAGAGATGACTGCATTTCAGGGTAGTTGTGTAAAGCACTAGAGCAAAAAGCCGGTGTGTGTGTGTGATTTCAGAAGCGTCTCATTTCCAGGGCAATGAAGCCATCGTTACCCAAGAGTCCCTGGCCAAGGCAGCACATCCTGTGCCTCTGAGAGAGACTCCCCTCCTCACGTCCCGTAAGCTGCTGGCGTCATCCTCCCAATGCAGCCGAGCCCACGGCTATTAGCCTGGCGACACGCTCCCAGAGCAGAGAGAGGCCACAGAGAGCAGGGCCAGGAAAGACCACTTCACCCAGCCACACCCCCTGCAACCATCTTTGATTTCCATAATTTATTCATCCCAGGATGCTTTTGTGCCCCCGCGCTAGCCCTCAGGCGGATTACATACGCCCTTGGAAATGGCACAGAGCGCCAGGCTGGTACGGCCTGGAGGGCTGTATGCTGTCGGTGCAAATGGGTGGGGGTGGGAACAGGTGGCCGGGGCTCACCCTGACCGTAAGACAACTGATGAGACTAAGAACAAGCCAGTACCATTACTCTACTCCAGGGGTTTTCAAACGTTTGTACTGGTGACTCCTTTCACACAGCAAGCCTCTGCGTGTGACCCTCCCCCCTTATAAATTAAAAACACTTTTTTATATATTTAACCCCATTATAAATGCTGGAGGCAAAGCGGGGTTTGGGGTGAAGGCTGACAGCTCACAACCCCCCATGTAATAACCTCATGCCCCTCTGAGCGGGCCCGACCCCCAGTTTGAGAACTCCTGCTCTACTCTCTACAACAGAGGACAACCTGCTACGGCTTCTGGGGAGACATCCGGCACCTACAGCGTTCCAGGGGCAGGGCCGGCTCCAGGCTTGGGGCGGCCAACGGAGAGGGGCGGCACCTCCGGGTTTTGGGCAGCAATTCGGCGGCGGGTCCCTCCGTCCCTCTCGGAGTGAAGGACCCGTCACCGAATTGCTGCCAAAGAATAGAATGAAGCGGCGGTAGTAGAGCTGCTGCCAATCCCGCCTCCCCCCGCCCCCTGCTTGGGGTGGCAAAAATGCTGGAGCCGGCCCTGTCCAGGGGGGGAGGAGAGGTTTTTTGAGCCCCTTTTTGTTAGGTCTTAATTCTTACCAAGGGTCCCCCCTGCTGATGTCAGTGCCCGTTAGTTGTGTCCTGTGAAAAGCTCGAGTAACTCCCCTGGAGAGCATTGTGGGTGTCCAAAGGGGCTGTGGTTTCATTTGGCCGCAGTGCGGAACAGGCCAGGAATGGCGCCGGGCAGCGGAGATGACCCGAAAGAAATTAATATCTTGATTCTCCTCTCCCTTCCGGTCGACAGCAGGGACGGGTTGGGAGCTGCTGCCTATTCGCACCAGTGGGGAAGGGAATCGAGCCCCCCCCGGCTGTCTCTGCACAAGCCTCTCACAGAGCGATGCCCTGCCTTGGCTAACCCAGACGGTGGCAACCACGGGATGGCTAGTATAGCCAAGCTCCAGGCAACCTCCCGGACAGCCTCTGTCCTGTCCTTCTGTTCCCGCGCTGGATTTCCAGAGGGGCTGGGGAAAGACGAAATAGCCACCCCTAGGGGAGGTCCATTGACGGGGCATGGACCCAGGAACCTCCTGGGCTCGCCCGGCTGTCCAGGGCTCAGAGGACAAGCCCATGGCAATCAGGGCTGAAGCCTGGCCATGCAGATGGGGGGGTCCAGCCCCCTTCCCCAACCCCAGCTCTGTGCAAAGGGGCGCCCAGGTGGAGAATGGTTTGTGACTGGCCACAGCGGGCCCCGGGCTGTCCACCACACACACACACACACACTTGGCAGCTGGGCTGTGGGCAGCCACCTGGCTGGCACGGCGAGGGGCCAGGTGTCCGCCCCGCGCTGCAGGAGAAACACTCGGGCCGAGGCCTTGGGCAATCGGCCAGGAGCAGGGCCCCCTTACACAACGCCGTGAACAGGAACTAGAGCCGCGGCTCTTCCTGTTGGAGTCTTGAGTAACCCCCGGCCCAGGGGCGGTGAGGAGCCGGGGGGGACTCAGGCTCAGGGATCCCACGGTGGCTGGGCTTCTGATTCAGGGCCAGGGCGAGCTGGGCCGGAGCAGTTTGGGGAGGGGGGCGCAGGCCGGGGTGCAGCAGGTGCGGAAGGAGATGGGCAGAGAGTGAGGGATGGACGTGCTCATAGTGTCGAGCTGAAGCGTGGCCTGTATAGCGTGCTCCCTCTGCATTGCTTTGCACTCAGGTGCTGCCCATCCAGCCCTCCTGGGACGGGCACTGAACCATTCAGGGGGAGACGGGTTCCCCGGGCGCCGGGCCAGGGTAGGGACTAGCCCTGCGCTGGGGCCCCTGGATCGAACGGGTCTTCTCTAACGCCACGTTGCCCCGCTCTCTGCTGCTCCTAGACTGGTGACAGAGCAGGGCAGCTGGTACCAGGGCTACCAGCGCCGGGAAATCGGGGACCCTTTGCAAACCCCACCCCCATCCCCCAAGCTACAAAGCCCAAGGTTCAAGGGGTGGCATCTCCCCACTCCCACCGTGGGGATAGCTGGGCATAGGGGGTGTTGGTGGAGTTAGGGGACTGATGGTTACGCAGCAGGGGTACCCCCTGGGGGTTCAGGTTATTACTCCTGCGGGGATCGTCCACCGCCCCTCATGGGGATGGAGCCGGGAGAGCGAGCTTCATGCCACCCTGTTCCTGGCAGGGCGGGGGCTCCTGAGGTGGCAGGGTTGGAGCTGGCCCTGGCTGGCACCCACCTGGGAGAACCCCCCACCCCAGGCCCGGCTTTGTAGACGGTGACTTTGTCTGGCGCTCCTACCGTAGGCCCGCAGGAAGCCACAGCCGCGTCCAACAGGCCGGCTTCCCGCTGCGAACAGGCAAGCTGGATTTGCCAAAAGGAGCCTTGAGGCTCAGGTGCCCGACTCCCATGGGATTCTAGAAAGTCTGCCACCCAACTCCCTTGGGCTCCTGGGACAATCCCAGAACCTCACGGGCGCCCTGGCAGGGGGCTGGCAGGGTCCCGGCGCGGCATCGATCCCCTGGCAGGGCCCCGCTGGCACACCGGCGCGGGGATGGAAGGGTCCCATCCAATGATGCTCCCTTGGGCAGGATCCCGGTACATCGTGCCCTGGAGCGCAGGAAGCCCAGCTCTGGATGCCCGCTGGCGCGATCAGGTGCCAGGGGGCGGAGGGTTTGCTCAGAGGATGCCCTGCTGCTGGGCTGGGACATGGGGGACAGGTTAAGAGGCTGGCCGGGCCTTCCCAACCCGCTCTGGGACTGGAGCCTGGCGCAGCCCCCGCGGGCCGGGGGAGGGCTGGTCTGTAACGGTGGCTGGGAACCCTCTTGCCCAACCAACCCCGTCGCAATTCGCTGCAATCGAGCCAGGAAACCTCGCTGGGGCTGTTGGCAAAGAGACATCTCCCCTGCCCCTCCCCCCTGTGCGTCACGTTGGGGGGGCCTCCCAGCTGCAGTGCAGCATGGGGGGGACAGGCCTGGAGATGGGACACCGCACTGGGGGCAGCACCTGGCGCCTTCAGCCCTCGTCCAGACCAGCGTCTCTCGGTTTAACCGGTGGAGCGCCACACCGTGCCTCCACCCCTCAAGCCAGCCTCTCCCCCTCGCTGGCCCTGACCCCTGGGGCGCCCACAGGGAACGACCCCCGGCCCTTCAGCATTGACAGCACAAGCCCCTGCCCCCGGAGCTAAAGGATGCGCTCCCTCAGCTGTGAGTAAGTAGCAGGCTGTTATCACCCCTGTGGCCATGTGAGCCAAAGCCCGGGATGTCGAGGGGTTTTGGATCGGGGGAGGCAGGCCCCTGCACTCCATGGGCTTCAGTGCTAGACGTGGGCAGCCATGACTAGGTCGAAACAGCGCCTTGGTGCTGAACCGCCCCCCTCCCGGCGCATCAGAGCCAGCCCTGCCGCCTCCTCCGACAGAACCAAGCGTCTCTGGCCCGCGCCCGCCAGCCCCGCTCTGCGGCAGGGAGCCGCCCCCCACAGTTCCAGCTGCAGCATCCCTGGGGGAGCCAGAAGACCCTTCCCGTCAGGGCCTGGGGCAGACCTAACGCACGCAGCCGGCCTGGGGTTCCAGGAGTGGCAGCTTTCCTGGGAAATGGAGAGAACCTGGACTGGAAGCGCCGCGAGACAACACACAGAGGCCAGCTTTGCTCAGTGTAATTGCACATCAAAGCCCCTGTGGGGCCTGGCCTCCTTTTGTCACAGATCAGAGACCTTCACTAGCAGCCCTGCTCAAGCCACGAGTTTATGGACTGACCCGCTTCGTGAGCCGTCAGCAGGCTCCGAACCCGGGACCTTCAGCACCACAGCCCAGCCTCGTGCCGCCTGAACAACTCCGTTAGCAGTAGTAGGCTGTTATCCTCTATGTGGGCCAGCCACTAGAGGGAGCTAAAATATGCACGGCTGCCATTCATTTTAAGGCGCCCCCAGGGCTGAAGGGCCTGGACCTGGCCGGGTCTCTGCACCGGAATGGTCTCCCCGGGCCAGGACGCGGGGAAACGTCTGCAGGGCCGAGTGCGGGCCCAGCCCAACAGGTTCTAGCCGCTGCCCCGTCGCCAGCGCGGGGGCACGGGAAGGGTTACAGACGCCCCGGTCCCACACGGAGAGGCAGGTCGGTGCCAGGAACGGTCTCCCCAGCTGGAGGCAGGGCGCACGGGACGCGGGCCCTGCTCAGGTGCCCTTGAAATTCCTCTTCTGCCAGCAGAGCAGACAGCAGCGCTCCCTCCTGCCGCTCTCCACCGAGCATGCCTGGCAGACGGTGCCTTGGCACAGCCTGTGGAGAGAGCCAGGCAGGTGACGCGGCCCACGTCACCACAGGCACCCGCTGCGCCCACCCTCGCCCCTGGGAGACCCTCTCCACACCCGCAGAGGGAGCAGGGAACCCCCAAAACGGTGCTGGGCAGGGCTGAGCAGGGGAGCCCCATAATGCCATGAGGCAGGGCTGGGCAGGGGAGAAGGGTAATACCAACACGCTCCCATGGCCAGGTGACTTGGCATGCGCTCTGTTCCCATTGGCCTCTCCCCCCGCCCCGCTGACCCCCACTTCTTGTGGCCACGGCCCCTCACCTGCACTGGTACCTGCGGGAGAGAAACCCAAAGTCCTGGCTGCAGCGGGCGCACAGGCTGAGGTCCTGGGGCACCACGCTGGGGGCCCGGGAGTTGATGCCCTCTGTCTTCTGCCACAAGGCGTCCTTCTCCCTGGGGGGTGAGGGGAGATGGCCCATCATTCCCTTCCTGTGACGCTACCATTCGACTCCAGCCCAGCCCTCGCTGCTATCCCCCCCCCGCCCCTGGTCCCATCCCAGGGGACGGGCTTCCCCTGCCAGCCCCCAAACCATCCTTACTAAAGCCCCAGCCCTGCCGAGCCCCAGGGCCACCCCCAGAGGCCTCACGGTGACCGTCACCCCCCAGCTGCCAGATGTGAGGGGGGCAGCCTTTGCAGCTCCCTCCCCATCACAGGAGGGTGTGTGTGACCTGCCCATCCCCTGCCAGACCCAGCTCCCTTGGTGATCTCCCCCGTCAGCAGCAGACCGGCCCTCTGCCTCCCTCCCCACCAAGCCTCCACCGCTTGAGCTACAGAAATCCAGGCATTGGGTGGCAGGCTGTTACCCTCTGCACGGGGCGGCCGTTACACACACACGCTTTGGAGGTGTGTTACACAATGGCCACAGCTGCACGCAGAGTCCTAGCGACCGCACACAAACGGCCGATTCGGTGGCCAGCGGCTGGTTTGTGAGTGCAATGACCCCATGCACGGTCTCATACGCAATTCTCGCCCCTCCGGTCTGGCAATCAGGGCTACACTTTGCTACCTGACCACACCACAAAGTTGTGCACGTTGGCAAAACTAATCCCAGCTATCCATACCAAATGATGGGGTCTAAATGAGCTGTTATCGCTCAAGGAAGAGATCTGGCAGTCACTGTGAATGGTTCTCTGACAACATCCACTCTATGTGCTGTGCAGTCAAAAAAGCGAACAATGCTAGGAACCACTAGGAAAGGGACAGATAATAAGACAGAAACGATCACAGTGCCTCTATATAAATCCCTGTACGTCCACACCTTGAATACTGTGTGCAGTTCTGGTCACCCTATCTCAAAAAAGACATACTGGAATTTGAAAAGGTGCAGAGAAGGACCACAAAAATGATTAGGGGGACGGAGGAGAGATTAAAAACTCTGGGACTGTTCATCTTAGACAAGAGACGACTCAGGGGGGATATGATTGAGGTCTATAAAATCATGACTGATGTGGAGAAAGCGAGTAGGGAAGTGTTATTTACCCCTTCTCATAACACCTGAATCAGGGGTCAGCTGATGAAATTAACAGGCAGCAGGTTGAAAACAAACAAAAGGAAGTATTTCTTCACACAACGCACAGCCAACCTGTGGAACTCCCTGCCAGGGGATGTTGTGAAGGCCAAAAGTATACCTGGGTTCAAAAAAGAGTGAGATAACTTCCTGGAGGATAGGTCCATCAATGGCTACTAGCCAGGCTGGGCAGGGACGGTGTCCCTAGCCTCTGTTTGCCAGAAGCAGGGAATGGGCGACGGGGGATGGATCACTTGATGATTGCCTGTTCTGTTCACTCCCTCTGGGGCACCTGGGATTGGCCACTGTCGGCAGACAGGACACTGGGCTAGACGAACCTCTGGTCTGACCCACTGTGGCCATTCTTGTGTACACCGGAGAGCCAAGGCGCTGAGCCGATGGACTGCGCGTTGGCAGAGCTCTGGTTGGGCTTAGCCCCAGGGCTCAGCACCGTTAGCTGCAGCCGGAGGGTCGAAGCTGGTTGAAAAGGCCGCTCCGAAGCCTGGGCTGGAAGACGAGCCAGGACGGGGCTGGGGCCGAGGTGTGGTCCTGCTGGGGGCTAGCGCCATCTGCTGCCCAGCGAGAATGAGCTCGGGGTTAGCCCAGCTCCCCATTTGTGCACGTTACAGAATCTCCAACAGTGTCCGCACAGTTTGCAGCTGCTGCTCAAGAGAAACCCA